GTGCCTGCGGCCAGCCAGCTGTCTGACCAGGCCTCCTGGTTAGTGGTTCGATCAACCAGGCTGTTCGATGTGGCTGCTCGCAGCCTGACTTATGAATCACAGCCTGGTTGATCAGATAACCTTTGAAGGTGTTTATCAAGTTCTCTTTTGAACACCGTGAGAGGTCGGCCAGTTATGGCTCTTATATGGAGAGGCAAAGAAATGTGAAAAACAAAGAAATGAGCGAAATACTGATGAATCAATACGAGACTGTTTTCAGCGAGCCACTAAACGCACTAAAGATTGATAACCCAAATAAATTTTTGATCGATATGATACCAACATCAAATCACACACCAGTCGTCACCCTATCTCCACTGGATTTTGAAGAAGCCATAGACAGTATGCCTACGCACTCTGCACCAGGCCCTGATTCTTGGAACTCCATATTCATCAAGAACTGTAAAAAACTACTATCGCAGGCCCTTCCCATTCTTTAGAGACAGCCTAGATACTGGCGTTATCCCTGACATACTAAAAACAGCAGAGATAGCATCACTCCATAAAGGAGAAAATAAGGCAGAGGCAAAAAATTACAGACCGATAGCACTAACATCGCACATCATAAAAATCGTTGAGAGAGTGCTAAGAAGTAAGATCACAAAATACATGGAATCACAGCATCTCCATAACCCCGGACAACATGGTTTCAGAACAGGGCGCTCTTGCCTGTCGCAGTTGCTGGACCACTATGACATGGCATTAGATGCTATGGAAGACAAACAAAACGCTGATATAATTTACACAGATTTCGCAAAAGCTTTTGATAAATGTGACCATGGTGTTATTGCACATAAAATGCGTTCAAAATGAATTACCGGGAAATAGACAGATGGATTTACAATTTCCCGACTAACAGAACCCAATGTGTAATAGTCAACAAATAAATTCCGGTCCATCAACCGTGAAGAGCTCAGTCCCCCCAGGGTACTGTGCTTGCTCCAGTACTTTTTCTCATCCTCATATCGGACATAGATAAGGACACAACCTATAGTACTGTATCATCCTTTGCAGATGACACTAAGATTTTCATGAGAGTAGACAACATAGAGGACACAGCCAAACGTCCAATCAGACGTAAATCAGATCTTTCTATGGGCTACATAAAATAATATGGTGTTTAACGAAGATAAGTTCCAGCTCATGCGCTACGGAAAAAATGAAAATATAAAAACGGAAACACCGTGGACGTACAAAACTCAGTCAAATTATAACATAGAACGAAAAAGCAGCGAAAACAATTTGGGTGTACTCATGTCGGAAGACCTTACCTTTAAAGAACACAATAAAGTAGCCGTCACAACTGCAAGAAAAATGACAGGTTGGATAACAAGAACTTTTCACACTAGAGATGCTATACCGATGATGACACTTTTCAAAACGCTTGTGCTATATAGAGTGGAGTACTGCTGCACAATGACCCCCTTTCAAAGCTGGAGAAATTGCTGGCCTGGAGAGCGTGCTCTCCAGGCCAGCAATTTACTGCTAGAATCCTCTCAGTAAATCATTATAACTATTGGGACCGACTAAAATGCATAAATCTGTATTATCTTAATCGCAGGCGGGAGCGGTACATAATAATCTACACGGGAAAAATACTTGAGGGGCTGGTCCCAAACCTGCACACAGAAATAACACCACATGAGACCAGGAGGCATGGCAGGATGTGCAGAATACCCCCGTTGAAGAGCAGAGATGCAACAGGTACTCTGAGAGAGCTCTATTAGAGGCCCGAGACTGTTCAACATGCTTCCACTACACATAAGGGGCATAACTGGCCGACCCCTCACAGTGTTCAAGAGAGAACTGGATAAGCACCTCCAAAGGATACCTGATCAACCAGGCTGTTGTGATTCATACGTCAGGCTGCGAACAGCCTGGTTGACCAGACCATGAACCGGGTGGCCTGGTCGGAGACAGGGCCGCGAGGTCTTTGATCCCTGGAACCTCCTCGAGGTAGGTAAGATAGATGGTTCCCAGTAAAATGATCGCTTTATAAATAAAACACAAAATGAACCGTGCGTGGCAGTCGACAGGGGCGATTATCGCGTAGTTTTTAATGTGCTCGTTACTGGTGACTCAACTGGTCTGAGGAGAGGTGCTGGTCGTTGTACACTGGTGACTCAACTGGTCTGAGGAGAGGTGCTGGTCGTTGTATACTGGTGACTCAACTGGTCTGAGGAGAGGTGCTGGTCGTTGTACACTGGTGGCTTAACTGGTCTGAGGAGAGGTGCTGGTCGTTGTACACTGGTGACTCAACTGGTCTGAGGAGAGGTGCTGGTCGTTGTACACTGGTGACTCAACTGGTCTGAGGAGAGGTGCTGGTCGTTGTACACTGGTGACTCAACTGGTCTGAGGAGAGGTGCTGGTCGTTGTATACTGGTGACTCAACTGGTCTGAGGAGAGGTGCTGGTCGTTGTACACTGGTGGCTTAACTGGTCTGAGGAGAGGTGCTGGTCGTTGTACACTGGTGACTCAACTGGTCTGAGGAGAGGTGCTGGTCGTTGTACACTGGTGACTCAACTGGTCTGAGGAGAGGTGCTGGTCGTTGTACACTGGTGACTCAACTGGTCTGAGGAGAGGTGCTGGTCGTTGTACACTGGTGGCTTAACTGGTCTGAGGAGAGGTGCTGGTCGTTGTACACTGGTGACTTAACTGGTCTGAGGAGAGGTGCTGGTCGTTGTACACTGGTGACTCAACTGGTCTGAGGAGAGGTGCTGGTCGTTGTACACTGGTGACTCAACTGGTCTGAGGAGAGGTGCTGGTCGTTGTACACTGGTGACTCAACTGGTCTGAGGAGAGGTGCTGGTCGTTGTACACTGGTGACTCAACTGGTCTGAGGAGAGGTGCTGGTCGTTGTACACTGGTGACTTAACTGGTCTGAGGAGAGGTGCTGGTCGTTGTACACTGGTGACTCAACTGGTCTGAGGAGAGGTGCTGGTCGTTGTACACTGGTGACTTAACTGGTCTGAGGAGAGGTGCTGGTCGTTGTACACTGGTGACTTAACTGGTCTGAGGAGAGGTGCTGGTCGTTGTACACTGGTGACTTAACTGGTCTGAGGAGAGGTGCTGGTCGTTGTACACTGGTGGCTTAACTGGTCTGAGGAGAGGTGCTGGTCGTTGTACACTGGTGGCTTAACTGGTCTGAGGAGAGGTGCTGGTCGTTGTACACTGGTGGCTTAACTGGTCTGAGGAGAGGTGCTGGTCGTTGTACACTGGTGGCTTAACTGGTCTGAGGAGAGGTGCTGGTCGTTGTACACTGGTGGCTTAACTGGTCTGAGGAGAGGTGCTGGTCGTTGTACACTGGTGGCTTAACTGGTCTGAGGAGAGTTGCTGGTCGTTGTATACTGGTGGCTTAACTGGTCTGAGGAGAGGTGCTGGTCGTTGTATACTAGTGGCTTAACTGGTCTGAGGAGAGGTGCTGGTCGTTGTATACTGGTGACTTAACTGGTCTGAGGAGAGGTGCTGGTCGTTGTATACTGGTGGCTTAACTGGTCTGAGGAGAGGTGCTGGTCGTTGTACACTGGTGGCTTAACTGGTCTGAGGAGAGGTGCTGGTCGTTGTATACTGGTGACTTAACTGGTCTGAGGAGAGGTGCTGGTCGTTGTAGAATGGTGGCTTAACTGGTCTGAGGAGAGGTGCTGGTCGTTGTACAGTGGTGGCTTAACTGGTCTGAGGAGAGGTGCTGGTCGTTGTACACTGGTGGCTTAACTGGTCTGAGGAGAGGTGCTGGTCGTTGTACACTGGTGGCTTAACTGGTCTGAGGAGAGGTGCTGGTCGTTGTACACTGGTGGCTTAACTGGTCTGAGGAGAGGTGCTGGTCGTTGTATACTGGTGACTTAACTGGTCTGAGGAGAGGTGCTGGTCGTTGTAGAATGGTGGCTTAACTGGTCTGAGGAGAGGTGCTGGTCGTTGTACAGTGGTGGCTTAACTGGTCTGAGGAGAGGTGCTGGTCGTTGTACACTGGTGGCTTAACTGGTCTGAGGAGAGGTGCTGGTCGTTGTACAGTGGTGGCTTAACTGGTCTGAGGAGAGGTGCTGGTCGTTGTATACTGGTGACTTAACTGGTCTGAGGAGAGGTGCTGGTCGTTGTAGAATGGTGGCTTAACTGGTCTGAGGAGAGGTGCTGGTCGTTGTACAGTGGTGGCTTAACTGGTCTGAGGAGAGGTGCTGGTCGTTGTACAGTGGTGGCTTAACTGGTCTGAGGAGAGGTGCTGGTCGTTGTAGAATGGTGACTTAACTGGTCTGAGGAGAGGTGCTGGTCGCTGTATACTGGTGACTTAACTGGTCTGAGGAGAGGTGCTGGTCGTTGTATACTGGTGACTTAACTGGTCTGAGGAGAGGTGCTGGTCGTTGTACACTGGTGACTTAACTGGTCTGAGGAGAGGTGCTGGTCGTTGTAGAATGGTGGCTTAACTGGTCTGAGGAGAGGTGCTGGTCGTTGTACAGTGGTGGCTTAACTGGTCTGAGGAGAGGTGCTGGTCGTTGTAGAATGGTGACTTAACTGGTCTGAGGAGAGGTGCTGGTCGCTGTATACTGGTGACTTAACTGGTCTGAGGGGAGGCGAAGGTTGTCGATAATTGGTATACATTGATCAAGTAGTGAGTTGTTGATGGTTAGAGAGAGAGAGAGAATTGGTTGTTAGATATAACCAACCATGGAGCTGAACGGTGGTTTGGTGCAGGAAGCTTGGCGGTCTTTGTTTGATGTCATCGTCTTCGAAGACTGATGTGCTACCACCACCCTGCCGGCTCTCGTCTTAAACCGGATTGTCAAGGTTGATGGCCCGATCAGCCGGATTGTTGGTGTTCAGAGTTCCAGTTTCACGTAGATATTATACCCTGACTGATACAGGAGCGTTGAGCAGCTTCTGGGTCTGGGTTGACTAGGTTCTGGGTCTCCCTATTTGTGTAGACCAGGTTCTGGGTTTCCCTATTTGTGTAGACCAGGTTCTGGGTTTCCCTATTTGTGTAGACCAGGTTCTGGGTCACCCTGCTTGTGTAGACCAGGTTCTGGGTCACCCTGCTTGTGTAGACCAGGTTCTGGGTCACCCTGCTTGTGTAGACCAGGTTCTGGGTCACCCTGCTTGTGTAGACCAGGTTCTGGGTCACCCTGCTTGTGTAGACCAGGTTCTGGGTCACCCTGCTTGTGTAGACCAGCTTCTCGGTCACCCTGCTTGTGTAGACCAGGTTCTGGGTCACCCTGCTTGTGTAGACCAGGTTCCGGGTCACCCTGCTTGTATAGACCAGGTTCCGGGTCACCCTGCTTGTGTAGAGCAGCTGGGACTCGTTAGAGCACTGTTCTGGCTTGTAACCTCTCTCAAGCCAGGATATATTTGAGCTAGAGCATGATGTAAGCGTGATAGTGTGAGCTAGAAGATATGGAGACCCTTCACCATTCTTGCAGCACCAGTAAGGCTCTTAACAATTAATGGGATCGCTTCAGAAAGAGACGCTATAACTGTCTCAATATTCCATTCAGTCTTCGACTCGTACGTCTGGCTGCGAGCAGCTGCGTGTAACAGCCTTGTTGACCAGACCACCATCCTGGAGGACCGGACGGAGACCGGGCCCGCAGGGACGTTGATCCTTACCTTTCGATGTTTCAGAGGATCAATTCCGAGGGTTCATGCGGTCAGACTGCGAGTTGCCAGACCGTATGAGATCACAGCCAGGTTGGTCAGGTATCCTTTAAATTTGTTTATCAAGTTCTCTCTTGAACACCGTGAGAGGCCGGCCAGTTATGCCTAGTGGAGAGTGTTGAAGGTATTGGGCCTTTGACAGTTCTCCCTCAGCGTACCTATTGCACCGCTGCTTTTCAACGGGGCTATTTTTCACATCCTGCCATGCCTCCTGGTCTCCTGTGGTGTTATAGTTTAGATATGGAACCAGTTCTAATATTTACCAAGTTTAATTATACTAACTCCCGCCTGCACCTTAGGGAATACTGATTTCAACATTTTAAGCGATCCAATAATTTAGTCTATTGCTGCTTGCGGTAATCTAAACATGTGACTGATCAGACTGTTACTAAAGAAGCCAAGTAGCAAGGTGAACCCCTGTGAGAACAACTCAAGAGACCGGCCACAGGTAGCACGTTATAAGCTTCCTTGTACGTTAAGCTTTATTATAAACGTTGACGAGTCTCTTAGGGTAGTGTGCCAGTTGGGGTTGGGTTGGCGCGCGGCGCTGGTGGCGCCCGCCAGCTGTGTAGCAGGGAGCAGGAGGCATGTGTACAACACCTGCCTTACACGTGTTACTGCGGGCTGGTGCTGGGGGCTCCCTCCTCCACCACCCCCCCTTGCTCGGTACCATCATTATCCTCCACCATCACCGCCCTCCACCATCACCGCCCTCCACCATCACCGCCCTCCACCATCACCGCCCTCCACCATCACCGCCCTCCACCATCACCGCCCTCCACCACTACCCATGATATATCAATATTTAATCAAATAAACTAAGATATTGCAAGATGCGTGGCAGGATGTGTAGTGGAGACGGAGTAAAGAGTGACGGTCCCCGAGGCCCCGAGGTCCCCTGTATCATCCTTTGCAGATGACACTAGGATTTTCATGAGAGTTGGCAACATAGAGGACACGGCAAACCTCCAATCAGATGTAGATCAGGTCTTTCTATGGGCTACAGAAAATAATGTGGTGTTTAACGAAGATAAGTTCCAGCTCATGCGCTACGGAAAAATTGAAAATATAAAAACAGAAACCACGTACAAAACTCAGGCAAACCATAACATAGAACGAAAAGGCAATGTAAAGGATCTGGGTGTACTCATGTCGGAAGATCTTACCTTTAAAGAACACAATAAAGTAGCTGTCACAACTGCAAGAAAAATGACAGGTTGGATAACAAGAACTTTTCACACTAGAGATGCTATACCGATGATGATACTTTTCAAAACGCTTGTGCTCTCTAGAGTGGAGTACTGCTGCACAATGACAGCCCCTTTCAAAGCTGGAGAAATTGCTGACCTGGAGAGCGTGCAGAGATCCTTTTCTGCTAGAATGCACTCAGTAAAACATCTAAATTACTGGGACCGACTAAAGAGCCTAAATCTGTACTCCCTTGAGCGCAGGCGGGAGAGATACATAATAATTTACACGTGGAAAATAGTAGAGGGGCTGGTCCCAAACCTGCACACAGAAATAACATCACATGAGACCAGAAGACATGGCAGGATGTGCAGAATACCCCCGTTGAAAAACAGAGGTGCAACTGGTACTCTGAGAGAGAACTCTATCAACATCAGAGGCCCGAGACTGTTCAACACGCTTCCGCTACACATAAGGGACATAACTGGCCGACCCCTCACAGTGTTCAAGAGAGAACTGGATAAGCACCTCCAAAGGATACCTGATCAACCAGGCTGTTACTCATACGTCAGGCTGCGAGCAGCCGCGTCTAACAGCCTGGTTGATCAGTCCAGCAACCAGGAGGCCTGGTCGACGACCGGGCCGCGGGGACACTAAGCCCCGGAAGCACCTCAAGGTAACCTCAAGGTAAGGAGGCCGGGCTCCCGGAGGCCGGGCTCCCGGAGGCCGAGGTCCCAGCACCTCCTCAGCCAGCTACCAACAAGTGCAGGAAATATTACCACAGGATCAAGGGACTCCTGTCTGGCTACAGGCTCTCCATTGGTAAACCATTGTCCATTTCCCTTCACTAATTCATCTCCCTTCACTCGCTCCCCTTCTGCCATTCTTCACCCTCTCTGTCCTTCACCCTGTTCCCGCTTCCTGTCCCTATCCTGACTTCTCTTTGACCTATCTTCATGTGGTTTGGAGGATCAGTGTTCTTGCGGACCGTCTCTGCCCGGGTCTCCTGGTTAACGGTCTGGTCAAGCTGGCTGCACGCAGGCTGACGTATAAATCACAGCCCGGTTGATCAGCCACCCTTTTGGAGGTGTTGATCAATTTCCCTTTTGAACACCGAGAGAGGTCGGCTAGTTATGCCTCCTCTTTATCCATTCTTCCTCACCCCCTCACTCCTCTACCCATTTATAGTTTTCTCTCTCCTCTTCATCATCTCCTCCATCACTGCCGTTATTTACTCTTCCTCTCAGCCCTTCACTTTATCCACTGCTCTGCCCCATCTCCCCCTTCTCACTATATGTTTTATCCATTTCCCATCCCATAACATTTGAGGGCGTTTAAGGAACCACGAAGACATTGTTGGGGAATGTCTTTGCTAAGGAAGGGGCTTCCCCCGTGTCGGCTGTGTTGATGCATGGGGCAGACACTGTGATTGATTTAGCGTGCGCTCGCGTCTTGAATAATGATTTATGGTGCGCAATAGCGAGGTGGAGCGTGATTCTTATGGTGTGGTGGGGAGTGTACTCGCCTAGTTGTGCTTGCAGGGGTTGAGCTTTGGCTCTTTGGTCCCGCCTCAACCGTCAATCTACTGGTCTGGTGTATAGATTCTTGAGCTTCTCGAGCTCTATTATATTTATATTTGAAACTGTGTATGGAGTCAGCCTCCACCACATCACTGCCTAATGCATTCCATTTACTAACTACTCTGACACTGATAAGATTTTTTCTAATGTCTCTGTGGCTCATTTGGGAACTCAGCTTCCACCTGTGTCCCCGTGTGCGTGTACCACCCGTGTTAAATAGTCCATCCTTGTCTACCCTGTTAATTCTCCTGAGAATTTTGTATGTGGTGAACATGTCTCCCCGTGCTTTTCTGTCTTCCAGCGACGTGAGGTGCAGTTCACGCAGCCTTTCCTTGTAAGTCATGCCTTTTAGTTCTGGGACTAGCCTAGTGGCATAACTCTCTGGTGTGGCTAGTGGCATAACTGAAACTTTTTCCAGTTTCGTTTTGTGCTTGACAAGGTACGGGCTCCATGCTGGGGCCGCATACTCCAGGATTGGCCTTACATACGTGGTATATAAGGTTCTGAAAAATTCCTTACACAAGTTTCTGAAGGCAGTTCTGATGTTAGCCAGCCTCGCATACGCCGCCGATGTTATTCTTTTGATGTGTGCTTCGGGAGACAGGTTTGGCGTGATATCAACTCCTAGATCTTTCTCTCCGTCCGTTTCGTGAAGGACTTCCTCTCTCATTCGGTATCCTGTGTCTGGCCTCCTATTTCCTCCGCCTAGTTTTATTACCTTACATTTACTTGGGTTGAAATTTAGTAGTCATTTATTGGACCATTCGCTCAGTTTGTGTAGGTCATCTTGTAGCCTCATACTATCTTCCTGTGTGGGTCTTGTACATTGTGTGTGTGTGTGGGGGGGGGGGGCGGTAATGGCTCTTGTTCATGGTGTGGAGCGGCGGTGATGGGGGGTGTGGCTCTTGTTCATGGTGTGGAGCGGCGGTGATGGGGGGTGTGGCTCTTACCTGCTTGATGGGGTTCTGGGAGTTGTGCTACTCCCCAAGCCCTCCCGAGGCCAGGCTTGACTTCTATTCCCCCGGCCTAGGGCCAGGCTCGGGGAATAGAGGAACTCTCAGAACCCCCTCCAGGGACCCTCCAGGTAAGCTTTTAGTGTTCAGCAATATTCCAGTCTGGAGGCTACCTCGTGTCGGTTCCGAGGAGCAATTTCCCCCGTGACTCGGGCTCCGACCAGGCCTCCTGGTTGGCGGTCTGATCCAACTAGGCTGTTGGACGCAGCTGCTCGCAGTCTGACGTGTGACGAGATGTCCTTTGGAGGTGTTTATCAAGTTCCCCTTTGAACACTGTAGACTTGTAATGCCCCTTTTTGTATAGAAGGGGGGAGGGGTGCTGGACCTGTTTTACTGAAAGGGGAAACGCCTGTTTCCCGCCGCCTGTTTTACTGGAAGGGGAAAAGAAACGTGTCCTTCCGTTTTTGTCCTGGCTGAGGATTGCATCCAGGTCCCTCGGTTGGGAGTTGAGAAGAATGTAGACCACTATGCTACAGGAGGCAGGCATGATATATTTAGATTTATAGGAGACATTTGTAGATTTCTTTGACCACTAAGAGTGATGCAGACGGTTGAGAGTTGGGGCACTAGTTATCTGGACGTTACTAACCCTATAGTGCTTGAACTATATGTTTAACACATCTCTAACCCTGTCCATGGAGGACAGAAGAAAATGTATATATGCTGGTTAGCATTGTAAGTATGTGGCCACGTCTGTGGTAGAAATAATAATAATAATAATAATAAAAAGTGCTAATTAGAAACACGTGCTTATGCTTTGACGTAACATGCGTCGATATGACGACGTAACAAGTGGCAGTTTTGCTCTTGATATACATAACTGACTGACGTTAATGGGTTGTACTGTACGTCACAATTTACCGAAGACGCTGACCTAGACACAACAACTTACACAGCCAATATCGCGACACAGACGGCAAGCGGAATTAGCCTAATCATCTTAGCGTTGTTGAGTGACAGAGTAGTTTTGATGCACACAAATGTACATTTATACATTGTGAACAACCAGAAGTGAACACCAGAGCTATGAACAGTGAGACCCGGGAGTGCCAGTAGCCAGTGAGTTCGAGCGACTCTGTGTTGAAGTTGTCAACAGTTGAACAATATTAGGCTTCACCGAAACATCTTAGGAGTTTCGACCATTGAAAGTCTTCCCTTTTTTTGTAGATGTTTATTATTCATTAGTGAGTTTTACTTTGAAATATCAATACAAATTTAACACCATATATGAAAGACGTATAAGAAGCAGTTTTATTAAAGTATATGAAAAGTCATGACAAAATGGACTCTGATTATTTGTTTAATAATCACTTCAAAATATATACTTCAAATATACTTCAAAATAAGCCGCTTGGTTGAATTTAATGGTCTGATGATGATCTCATTCCATTGTAATACTTTGTAGTTTCTGAATTGAAATTTGATATTGTGTTCACAATTGCAATGTTTTATTTTTTTTGTTCCTTTTACAGACAATATTAATCATTTTGATTTATGTGGTACACTGGAAGATATCTTTTACATCGCAGTCAATAATGCCGTCTTTTGCATCTCTCGAACATCTGGAAATATTTAATGAGATTTCTACTTCTCATGGATAGTTTGAAGCTCACATCCGGCCGAGGTTAGTCTTCTAGCTACAGCAGAGGAAACCAGTAATAATGAGGGTTGGCAGAGAGGGGCATTGTCCCCCAGAGTCAGTTGGCAACCGCCGGCGGCTGGTCGACCACAAGGGCCAGGGTTCGAATCCTGGTGGGTGAGAAAGCTTCCCCCCCCCCCCTACCTGCAGACCTAACACTTAGGGGATGTTGACAAACTGTAATTCAGCGTTGTATTTACTTGCCGTTGTTTATATCACCAATTCTACTTTAATGTATTATAAATACATTAAATACAAAATAAATTTTACTGTATTATAAATACGTGTCTGAGAACAGGACGAGTGGCGCAGGATACAAATACAGTATAATGAACGATGTATGATTTCATGGCAATAGTCATTTGACTTTTGCTATTTTGAGATGCATTAAACAAATAATTGTCAGCTGTCATTAAGAAGATGTAGCGGTATGTCTCACCAGACATTAAGGTGAGGCGAGGGAAACGCTTCCGGCCCTGGGGCCAGCCAGCAAGCCTTCCCTGGGGAATTCCCAGGTCCACATAATCTACCCCTTACAGCCAGGCTGATCCGGTAACGCTGCAGGTTGAAGAGCTTTAGAACTAGTGTGTTTACAGTGTGTTCTCCGAGTGTGCTGTGACACGCCAGTGTTGTGCCGAGTTGTCACACGCGGAGCCTGACCTCAGGCCGGGCATGGGGGAGTATAGCAACTCCCAGAACCTCTCCAGGTAAACTTAGTGTTGATGCTGGGGAGACGTCGCGACCCGGGGGAGACGTCGCGACCCAGGGGAGACGTCACGACCCGGGGCAGACGTTGCTAGCTCTTCCTCTACTCCATTGTCGTCGCGACCCGGAGGAGACGTCACGACCATGATTAGGAAGTATGGTGTTGTAATCACACCTAGGTGTACTCAACTAAATATGCTTACATGGTCGTCCACAAGCTCCTGAACCCCCTTGATGCATTGATTCCCGATCCTCTTGGCTTTTGACATTCTACTCTTGAAACTAATTCATTCCGATAGCTTCTGCTAGCTCTTCCTCTACTCCATTGTGATGACTCGCTGTCCTCACAGTAAAAGGTTCTTGCTAGCATCCCTGTGATTCATCCCAGCATTCAAGTTTGTGTGTACTCATCTACCTAGTAGTGCTTGCCGGAGTTGAGCTCTGGCTCTTTGGTCCCGCCTCTCAACTGTCAATCAACTGGTGTACAGATTCCTGAGCCTACTGGGCTGTCATATCTACATTTGAAACTGTGTATCGAGTCAGCCTCCACCACATCGCTGTCTAATCACTGCGTGCGTGTTTAATATTTATGCATGCAGAATCGACCTGTTAGCTCTCTGATCCCTACTTTCTAACTGTCGGCTGTCTAATATACTGACTTATTTATTGAACATAACCGAGCAAATCTAGTGGCAGCCAGGAAAACAATAGATTATGAGAACGTTCAAAGTCATCCTATAGCAATGATAATACTATTTAAATCACTGGTGTTGTCCCGGCTTGAGTACTGCTTAATACTCGCTTCCCCTTTTAGAGCGGGAGAGATCTCTGAATCAGAGGGAATCCTTAGAACATTTACGGTAAGTATAAAAATGACAAAACACCTAAATTATTGGGACCGTCTCAAAGCTCTCAAAATGTACTCTCTCTAAAGGAGACGAGACAAG